CTCACATTGTGCACCATCCTTAACACCCCCCTGGCTGCTGGCTCCCCTCCGCCCCAATGGATCCAACCATCCCCAGACAAACAGCCTGGCAGTGGATCAGCCCAGAACACAGTTGCCAACTTTCCCGCAGTAACTAAGCACCTCGACTTTCACAATAAGCCCAAAATCAAGCTAGTCCCATCAAGTCAAGGCCAAAACAAGCCAATCCCTAAGAACCCCAACACTCCATGTGACTAGATCCCCCCGGCGTGCAGTCTGGGGCCTGCTGTGCACCCCTGACTCTCTCCCCCCCTTGACCCTGCTTGCCCCCCCCCCTTTGCTGGGAGCTAATAAAACAAAAGAAGCAACTACAACAAGCTACAAGCTCCAAACTAGCCAACAAGCAACTCACAAGCCAATTAAGCCAAAAACAAGCCCAATTTCTGCATTTTTTCCACAGGTTTGGCATGTCTAGCCCAGAAGCTTTCCGCCTCCAGGAGAGGCTGGAAATGATCCACCCAACCTCAGTGCTGCCCCGTGCCACCAGCTCCGTGTGGGCGAGATCTTGTGGCCATGCCGGCAGTGACGCCTCTCCCTGCCAAGTGCTGGGGTCAGGGGCCTTGCCCCATCCTGCCAGCCATGTAAACCAGATGATGAGGGCGAGGATCAGGCCCCATCCCCCACCACACAATCCCTCTTCAGCCACAATCCTATGGGTGTCAGGGGGGCACCGGTTGCTTTCGGGCCTTCCCTAGGTCTGGAGAAGCCTGCAGCCTGCGACTCACCCTCTCTGCCCTCCAGGACCCTGCCAGCGCTGACCCCAGGCCTCCAAGCAGAGGCGGGTTAAGCTTTTGTGGGGCCCTGGACCAAAGCAAGTGGGGTCCCCTCCCCCACATTCTCCTGCCAGGGAAATGAGGTTGGGATGTGGGGGCTTCCCCTGCTCCCCGGCAGGAGCGCTGGGTGGGCAGGCGGAGTGAGTCGGGGCATGGGATTGCCCATTTTTTTGTCCCCCCTAATTGGCCAGGGTCCCTGGGCACGGGCTCCATTGACCCAGTGACTAATCTGCCACTGCCTCCAAGCCAGCAGCCACGACTGCATTGTCGGTTACCCACATCACCCTTGGAGCCCCAACATCCCAGCCAGCGGGAAGGGGGCTAATCTCGGCTCTGGAGATACACCACAGCCGAGCCTGGGAGATTATAAACAAGTCCCCTGGTTATTCCCAAGATCACTCCTACCCTGGTGGCCGCAGGCCCTGGGATGGGAGACCATGGATCTGACAACCCAGGGCCCGTTCCCCACTGGCTGTAGGTTTCTGGGCCGTGCTGCTGCCAGGGTAGCGGGGTGAACGAGAGCCGCGAGGAGCAGGGCAGCTGGGCGGGGACGCTGCTGACAGCAGACTGGGGTGAGGATGGGGGGAGCGAAATGGAAATTCATCAGGTCCCAGCTCAAAGCAGCTCCAGGAGTCAGCGTGTTGGTGGGCTGGAGCAAAGGGGCTGGGACTCAGGGCTCCTGGGCTTTAGCCCCATCGCTACCACAGACTATGTGACCTTCTACACACCACTCCCCACTCCGTGCCTCAGTTTCCCCAGCTGTAGCCTGGAGGAGAGAGCACTGCCCTGTGCAGCTAGGTCGCTCCTGCATGCAGTGGCTGGGGATCCCTGGCTGGCAGGCGCTGCAGATTCCCAGCGGTGGGTGTCATGCTCTGCCCTACACTCAGATCCCCTCACCCTTGGGTTCGAATCTGTCCCATGCTGCCCGTTGGGTGGCTGCTGTGTAAAGGGAGCCTGAGGGGACTTGGTGCAGGTCATAGCAGGGCAGGTGTCACCCCTCCTTGCTAGTCCCAGCAGGAAGGCCATGGGCTGAATCCCCTCTGCTCCCTAGAGGGCATCCCCCCAAGCAGGGCTGAGATGGGCTGCCTAGAGGGGGGGGTCACTCCCCCTGGACCCGAGCTGTGGCTAGAGGCCTTGTGGCTCCAGGGCTGTGAAACAGGAGAGTGCTTCTCATGGGTAAGAGAGCCTAGGACAGCTGGGTCCTTCCCACAGCTTGCCACGCGCCCGCAGGCACAGGGGATATCAGGCAAATAACCCATCTCCAAACCCATCCGAGAGAACCCCTGGCTGCTCCGGGATGACCGGCGCCAGAACGAGCCCGGATCCCCTGGGGCCCAGTTGGTTACGCACCGTGCACTTGGCAGCAGTCTAGAGCCCTGGATTCACAGCAGCGTTTGGGGGCAGCGACGGGCGCAGGCTTGTTACAAACCTCGGCTGACAAGCTCGTTTGGTGGACATGGTTGGATGCCACGTTCCATGGCCTGGCCATGGCCCTGGGATACCCTGGCCCCCTCAGAGCCGCTGCTGACGCCAAGGGGAGCTGCACAGAGATGGGGGAGAACGTGGCCTGCAGGTAGCAACTCTCATAGTTATTCCTAGGCCCTTCTTGTCGCATCCAGCATGGCCTGATAGGAGCCTCTGCTTCCCTGGAGGCCAGCCCTGCCCCATTTCTCTCCCCCGCTCCCTTAGCACAGTGCATCTTTCCCGTTCTTCCCGTCAGCCGTTGCCACCCGGGAGTGCCCCCCCGTCCAGCTGCTCGAAGGATCCGCAATAGGACACCGAACACAGACACTGAAAGTGCCATCAATGGGCTTTGGAGTCAACACTGGGCTCAGTGCAGCGTTCGCAGCTCTCCGAGCCCTTGCTTCAGGCTCTCTGCAGACTCAGGTAGGCAATGCTATCTCACAGGGCACGTTTTCAGGGGTTTCTGCACTACCCCGCTGGCTGGACATTCCCTTTGCGGTTCAAACGAAGACCGAGATGCCGCAGGATTTGAACGTGCCACGCAGGCCGCAGAAATACATCCAGCGGGCGGGGTCCGGCTCGGACACTGCGGCTGTAAACTCTGAATGGTAAACAGACACCCGAAGACCACCTTTCTGTGTGAAACCGGTGTGCCTCCCAGAGCTCCCACCACCCCGCAGACCCCCATTACTGCAAGAACGTGACAGAAGGACAAGTATTTGGCCATGCAACCATTGTGTGCAAATGGCTGCATGGTCCAATCCCACTGCAGGAAAGGTGACTATTCTCTTCCCTTTAATTTCAGGAAAGCCATGTGGCTAGTGGTTAGACCACGGGTTTGCTGGGTGACCCTTGGGCTTTCCCCTCCTGTGCCTCAGTTTCCTCTTTGGTAAAATGGGGATAGTCATGGCGCCCATTGCAAGCGCTTTGAGCTCAGTGGCAGGGTCGTTCTGTGCGTAGCTAGACATGAGCAGGGTCTGAAAGTGACCCAGGCACAGAAAGGTTTGCGGGATTGTCTGAGTATCTGGATTGTGGCAGTGCCTGGGACGCCACACAATGAAAAGGCAGCCCCCCGCCCGCGATTTGTGCCAGTTTAGTGAAACCAGCGTCGTCCCCGTGAGGACACACTGATTGCATGTCAGCTTGAACCAGTTCCCAATCCTCTGAAGTTAAACTGCTAGAACCTGGTTCAAACAGAGACGTGCACATGGGAGGGTTTTGCTCCATTTAAAGGGAACAACTCTCCATGCAGGCCCATCTACCAACCTGCCTTGGGGGCAAGAATCTTCTCCTTCAGGCTCATGCGAGTTCTGGGCTCAGCGAAAACTGATTACTGCCCCCCACACCCGACGTGCCAGAGAAGCGGATGAGTCGCCCTGCCCCAGAGCAGGCCCTAGTGGGAATTATACCCTCCCTCAGGTGGCCCCACCTCTCTGCCCTCGGGGGAGGTGGCCGATGGGTGTGGGAGTGAGTGCAGGGGGCGAGCTGTCCTCCAAGGGGGGGGCCCTGGTGGAGAGGCGACCTAACACCACGGGGGACTGGGCAGCACAAGAACTGCCTCCTGCTCAGTGCTCAGGACAGGGAAGCTGGACTCCTGGGTTCCGTTCCCAGCTGTGCTGCTGACCGGCTGCCTGAGCTGGCCCGAGTCATTTCCGCTCATTGCGCCTCAGTTTCCCCACCAACTCAGGGGGCGGAACAGCAGCCGAACTGCCTCTCCAGATCCCGGGGGGGAAGGAAGAGCTGCTGGCGTGTGCAGCGCTCGCCGGGGCCGTGGCAGCAGTCAGATGAAATCACACGCCAGGGGTCAGCATTGCATAGCGACGAGGGCACCAGGCTGGCGCTCAGGGGAGCGGGGCCCATTCCTAGCTCTGCTGGGTGACCTGGGCCAGGCTGATAAGACTTGTCCATTTCAGGGGAGGGGCGAGGATGAGTCGAGGACCGCGCCCTCCCCAGTTCTGACGCCCGGGAGACAAAGGGGGTCAGGGGCTAGAACACCCCCAGGGCGTGGCCCCAGCGATCCCCATCCAGGCAGGGGTCGCACAGGAATGCTTGTTACTACACAGCCCAGTTCTGTTTTGTCAGGACATTTATTGGTGCCGCGAGCACAGGGCCCTGCGGTCCTGGTGCCGAGAGCTCCCTGGGGCAGGCCTGGCTGGCCATGGCACTGGAGCACGGGGCTCATTCATTTCTCCAGCGCCCCGGGGCCAACAGGCACTAGAGCCGAGATGCCTGACGCAGCCCGGCGCCGAGGGGGCGGTTCCACCATGCGTATAGGGCAGATCCAATGGGGTTCGGCCGGTTCCCCCACCCAGGACACAGGGCGTCCCCTAAAGGGCTCAGTGGCACATTCCTGCCTGGGTGGGGGTATGGGGCCCATGGGAACCTCTCAGGGACCAGCCCAATCCCGGTGCCCTCTGGCCACCGCCCCAGCTGCCAGGTCCCGTGCTGTATGCTGGCCAACAGCCTGGCACCTTCAACCAGCCATAGAGCTCCCTTAAACAAGACAGTCTGCCTGGGTGTGAGCCCCCCGTGGGAACTGAGCCAGAACAGGGAGCAGCTCAGCCACCCATAGAATGGAGGACAGGGGACTCCAGGAGGTGGGAGTTGGGGGAATGGGGATGGGAGACCCTGGGGGCATGGAAGTCAGGGGGCAGGTTGACGGGGAAGCCAGGGGGAATGGGGGCAGGGAGACCCTAGGGGGATGGGAGGGTGGGGGTGGGCGGACCCTGAGGGGAGAGGGGGCGGGGGGATCCTGGGGGAGGGGAGGCTGGAGGACCATGAGGGCAGAGTGGCTTCATGGGGCCTGTCAGCACCGGTGCACCCTCCAGGCATTACCAGGCTGGGCAAGACTCCTCCCCGCCAGGCTGTGCCCAGGGCTTCATCTGCCCCAGTTCCCAGGACCCCCAGGCCGCCCCGCTCAGGATCCCTACCTAGCAGCCAGCTCCTTCTGGGGGCACCAGCGCTGGGCCCTGGCTGCTGGGGGTGGCTGGGAGCGGCAGGGAACAAACCCGTTCAGCAAGTCTGTGGGAGCTTGGGGCAGCCGGGTTCTCGCTCCCCGGGGCCACAGCCTCCAACACCCCCAGCCAGGGTGTCGCAGCTCTCACTCTGCGCCCAGCTCCCCACCCAGCACGGCCACCACAGGCCTCAGCGCTTCGCCCGCCGCTTCCGCAGCTCCTCCTGCACCCGCTGCCTCAGGGCCTCACGCAGGGGCGGCTCCAGCGGGCTCCGGGCACACACCTTCTCCGTCACCTCCTCAGGGCTGTCGTCCTGCAGTGAGAGGGGCAGGGCCTGCATCAGCTCCGGAAACTCCTGCCACCCAGCTCCCGCATGCGCCCAGCCCTCCCTCCTGGCGGAGCGAGCAGCTGAGCGCCAGCTCCCTACACCGCCCCAGGCAGCATGTGCTAGGGCCCCAGCATGCCCCAGCCGGACAATCCTGTCACTCTGCGCTGGCTGCAGCCTCTGCCATGGGGTCTGCGGGCCCTGGCTCCTGTCTGTAGAAGGGGAGGGCCGCTGGGCCGGCAGCTGGCATGTGGAGGTGCCCTCTGCCCCCGGAGAGACGGGGGAGCAAGGGGAGAGGGCGAGAGACACCAACGGGATGGAGGGACCACACAGAATGCTAGGAGTGACAGCACCCCCTGCTGAGCCCCCTACCCTGCTCTCCGCATCACGGGGCCCCGTCAAGCAACTGCCCCACTCCCCAAACCACGGCGCCCCCTGCCGAGCCCCCCCCCCCACTCCCCACACCACGTGCCCCCTGCTCCACTCCCCACAGCACAGAGCCCCCTGTCAAGTCCCCCGTCCCACTCCCCAAACCACGGCGCCCCCTGCTCCACTCCCTGTAGCACGGCGCCTCCTGCTAAGCCCCCCACCCTGCTACCCACAACACGGTGCCCCCTGCCAAGCCCCACACCTCCTCCCCACAGCACGGCACCTTCCGCTCCAGTCCCCACAACACGGCGCCCCCTGCCAAACCCTACACCTGCCTCCCCACAGTACAGCCCACCCCACTCCAGCCCCCTGCTGAGCCCCCCACCCCTCTCCCCACAGCACAGCACCCTCCGCTCCAGTCTTCACAACACAGCGTCCCCTGTTGAGCCCTCGCCCTGCTCCCCACAGCACAGTGCCCCCTACTCCACCCCCTGCAGCACGGCGCCCCCTGCTGCACCCCATAACCCTCTTCCCTGAGCTGAGCCCCTGCCCTGCTCCCTGCAGCCCAGGCCCCTTAACACCTCGCTCAGTCATTGGGGTCAGCACTGACACAGGGGGAGAGCGCTCCCTACTAGCTCCCACCCTCTCCTGCCAGGAGATCCCCTCCCTGCCGCCCTGTTCTCCTGCCACCCCCTGCCTGGTTTGCCAGGCACATACCTGGTGTACAATGACCGAGGTGACCTCGCCGCTGTCGGCCTCATACTCTAGGCAGAAGAGCTCTGTGCCGCGGGGGTCTGGCTCTGTGCTGGAGCTGCTCTCGCTAGACCCCTCGTACTCCAGGCCGCAGGCTGGGTCAGCTCGACCTGGGGAGCGTAAGGGAGCCGATGAGGGGAGTGTGGCCAGGCGGTGCCTGCACCCACCCAGAGAAAACAGGGCATGGACGCAGCAGTCTGGAAATGGAGTCCTTGAACCTGGCACCAGGAATCCATCAGATTTAAGGGGCGTTGACCTAATGCCCCTCAATCCCGACCCGCAGCCCCCTGCTAGCTCAGCCCTGGGATCCCCACTCCACAGCCCTGCTGCTGCCCCTCAATCCCGACCCGCAGCCCCCTGCTAGCTCAGCCCTGGGCTCCCCACCAGCTCTGCCAGTGCCCCTGAATCCCGACCCGCAGCCCCTCAGAATCCTGCTAAGCAGAAGTGGCCAATCGTGATCATCTTTGGACTGGGATGGGCACCAGTTAGGAGGCCCAGAGCCAGGTCCTGCGGGCGACCGTCACTGGGATTTGGACCCAGGGCTCTGGGCGAAGGGACCGCGTGGTTAAACCCCTGCTCTGTGGCGCTGCCAGTGACCAAGGAAAGGGCTGGGCATGCCAGGCCTGTCCCCATCTGATCCCTCAGCCTGGCCACGGCCCAAACCTGGCTGGTCGGTCAGCCGCCCCTTGGAACTGACGCCCGTCGCACCAAAGGTGCAGACACGGTGCTGGGGGGATTCTGGACTCGCCCCCACCAAACTCAATGACTTGGATCAGCACAGGAGCTAACAACGCCTGGGCAGCCCCCCCAATGAGGGCTGAGGGGGAGGCGCCCCCACTCTGCTGTACACATGCCCCATCCGCTCCCCAGTGGGAGCACAGAAAGCAGGGCGCCAGCTGTGCTCACTTCTCCGGCAGGGGTGGTACACCTGCTGGTCGGGTTTCCTGGGCCGGGGCGGGGTCGGTGTGTGCCTCTTCTTCACCTTCTCCTTGGCCTGCTTCATCTCCCGGTCGTAGTCGTCCCTGATGGGGAGGAGAGTGAGGCCTGGGGCTGCAGCTGGGTATGGGGCTGGGAGCCGGGACAGGCCTGCCTGGAGATGCCATTGATTTGCCACACCTAGGGGGGTGCACGTGGGGCGTGTTTGCATAGGCCTTGTGGCAGGGCGAGGGGCTGGTGTTGGGGGGGGGGGGGGGGGGTTCCCCGCCCCCCCTTCCCCCGTTCCCCAGGGCCCCCCCCCTTACAGGTTATCTGCAGAGGGGGATGGGGGATAGGCACCTACCCTTTTCACCCAGCTAGAGAGAGGCGTCCTGCTTGCTGTTCGCATTAGTAGTTGGGGTCCCATTCCCACCCAGCCCCCGAGGCTCCACGGCTGAACAGAGAACTGGCAGGGCTGGTACACAGATGCCATGCCCTTGACCCGAAATGTGCCAGGGTGGGGATAGGCGTGACCTGGGAGGGGGTTGAATACCAGCCCCCCCAGCCGGGGTCTCCCAGGCCTGCACCCAGTGAGGGTCCAGCTCCCCCAACCCTTGCTGTCGGGGGGGGGGGTCTGCAGGGCTGGGAGGTCTCATGTGGGCGGGGGTTCCCTGGGGGCAAGGACCAGGAGTCCCAGCCCCGGGACGGGGTCAGGTACTTGGGGGGGTGTCCGCGCACAGGATCCGGCACTTGGAGATCCAAGGGGGCGGGGTCCGGGCCAGGTGCCGGTGCCGGGAGATCCGGGGTCCGGTCCTGGTGGGGCAGGGTTCGGTCCCGAGATCCGGGGTCCGGTCCCGGGGAGTTCGGGGGGCAGGGTCCGGTCCCGGAGGTCCGGGCCGGTACCTGGCGACCTGGTTCCGCCGGATGTGCCGCACGAAGCCGTGGCTCATGTCGAGCCGCCCCCCCGGCCGGCAGCCGCCCCAGGCCGGGCCCCGCTCCGCCTCCGGCCCCGCGTCCATCGGCCCCCGCCTCGCCCAGCGCCGGAGAGCGGCGGCGCCGGGGCCCTGAGACCCGCCCCCGGCCCCGCCCGGCCGAGCGCGGGGAGCCGCGAGAGACTGACTCAGACCCCGGCTCCTCCGCACCTGGTCAGGCCCCCCCGTCCCCGGGGCCAGCCCCTCCAGACCGGGATCAGCCTCCCGGCCCCAGTCCCCGGTCCGGAGCCTCCCACCCCGGGACCAGCCCCCCGCGTCTCCCTAGGGCCGCCCCCTACCCGGGGCAGGCACCTGCACCCCCCTGGAGCAGAGACCATTCACCCTCATCCCCATCCCTGTGTCCCCCCCATACCCCCTACAACCCAACACCACCCTGTACCTGTGCATTCACCCCCCGCCCCGTGCCTCGCACCCCCACACCGAGCTCTGCGCAGTGCCCCCCACTTCTGAGTCACCTTTGCACTGCCCCCGTCACTGGCACACCAGCGCCAAATGAGGTGGGAGCGTTTGACACCCTAGGGTGAGAAGCCACAGGGCAGAGCCGTGCGCCAGGCGGTCCGCGTTGGATATTGTATCTGTGCAGAGGGAGGTTATGTCACGGCAGGCCTTTAGCCCGGGGGCTCATAGGTTCAGTTGCACCCCCAGAAATCAAGAGCGCCAACCCTCAGTGGTGCTGTGACCCCGCTCCCTCAGATTTGGCCTGGCTGCCCCTCCATCAGTGGCACTGCCACCCTGTGCGCCAGATTGCAAAGCAGGGGGCCGGGCCCAGCCCTGCAGCACAGAGCCGCTGCGCCAGGGTGCGTGTGGGGCGGACATAGCGCACCCGCGGAATTGGGAGGCTATGGCCATCCCTGCATAAAGGCAACTTCGTCTCAGAGCTTGTCTACACTCAAATGTAGCACTTCAGTGTAGACACTACCCACCCCACAGCAGGGGTTCTCCCGTTAGTCACCTCCCCACGGGGCAGCAGTTAGGTCCCCAGAAGAATTCTTCCGTCCACCTAGTGCTGTCTACACTGGGGGTTAGGTTGGCTTAACTACGCCATTTGGGGGGAGAGGGGGAATGTGTGGATTTTTCACACCCTTGAGCGAAGTAGTTAAACCAATTTAATTTTCTAGTGTAGACCAGACCTAAGTCAAAGCCTCTGGGTGTGAATGTAATGCCAATGCTAAACAATAATAGATTTGAGAGACAAGGTAATATGTTTTATTGGACCAGCTTCTGCTGGTGAGAGATACAAGCTTTTGAGCCACACCGAGCTCGTCTTCAGGTCTGGGAAACCAACTCAGAGCGTCACAAGGTGTTAACTGCTTATGCCAAAGAATCGGTTCCACCTTGTATTTAGCTGTGACGCTGGAAGTGCCTTTCCCAGCCCTGCAGAAGAGCTTGGTGTAGCTTGAAAGCTTGTCTCTGTCACAGAAGTTGGTCCAATAAAAGATATTGCCTCCCCCACCTCATCTCTCTAATCTCCTGGGGCCGACATGGCTGCAATGCCTATTGCTGTGTTGGCAATTTCAGGCCTTCATAAATCATGAGCTTGGCTTAACAATCATGAGATTTTAAAATCAGTAACTGCTGCAGTTGGCCTCCGTGGCCTTGCGGCTTGTCAGGCCTCGGGATTCACGTTTTCCGGCTTTTCTCCCCACACACAAGGTCTTCCACGAGAGCCCAGATCCTCACCCCGTCACTGGACTCCAGGAGCTGGGGCTTTAGGAGACATGCCAGGGTTGCAGGGATCAGACGCTGGGGGCAGGGCAAGGGGCAGCAGCACAGACACGAGACACCAGCCCTCTGGGGAGCAGAGTGAGGCCACAAAGCCCCAAGCTGCCATTGCCAATGATCGCTGCATAAAGGGGAGACTGTCTCTTTAAATAGGAACTCCGAGAAGACCGGCGGTCGGCCCATCCCACAAACACTGGCTGGACAGCAACCAATGCGCATGCGCGAAGGGACGCCGTAAGAGTGCGCAGGCGCCAAACTGATCCTCGCGCCTCCCTTTGGACGGCTGTGCGCATGCGTCTGCTACTGCACATGCGTGTGGGGAGGGCAAAGGTGCCGCTGGCCTGTGTACGCGCGTGCGGCTGCGTCTGTCACTCCGCGCATGCGCAGTAGTGGCTGGAGCGGCCCGGGATGTCCGGCCGGGTGAAGCGGGAGCGGGAGTCCCGGCCGTCCCCGCGGAGCTCGGCCTCGGGCCGGGTGAAGCGGGAGCCGGCGGGGTCGCGCGGCTCCTCCCGAGGGAAGCGCGAGGCGGAGCCCGAGCGGGTCCGGGTGAAGCGCGAGCCCGAGGACGGGCCGCCCCGCGTCAAGTGGGAGCGCGAGGCCGAGGAGGAGCCGGAGTCGGAGCCGGAGCCGACAGGTGGCGGTGGCGGCGGGGCCCGGGGGGGGGGGCGCGGGGGGGGGGGGCGGGGGGGGGGGGGCGCGGGGGGGGGGGCTGTGGGGGTCCCTGAGCCGTGGCTGGGACTGGTCAGTGCTGGGCACCCCGCGGCCCATGCTCCGGCCTCTCTTGCTTCAGAGCCCCGACTCCCCTGGGCCCACCATGGGCTGGGCCAGAGCGATCTGCTGGAGCCGCCGCTGGCCGGGCGCGGGGCAGCGAACAGCCGAAGTCGCTTTGGTGACGGTTGTCCGAGCTGGGTTCTGCTCTAGCTCTTGCCAGACCCGCTGACCAAAGTCAAATTCCTTCCCCGGTTTGGTGCTTCTGTGTCCCTGTGGTGGAGATGGGGCTGGTGATACTCACCTCGCTTTGCCATCCCCAGGTGCGAGGTTCTGAGCATTGAAGGTTTGATTTTAGGAGGAAATACTTTAACCCACGTGAGGAACAAGGGGAGAGGTCGGTTCTCAAGCTAGTTCTCACCCCAGTTCAGGTTCTCTAGTCAGTGTAACTAGTGTTCTCATGTAGGCAGCCTTAACAGAGTACAAAGTGCTGGTGTCATGCTCCCAGCAGCCTGCGTGGGTTATTTTCTCCTGAGGAAATGCCATGTGGTTCTGGGGTTTCTGTCTCTGAAGCATTGCTTTTCAGTGGCAGGTACCACTTCAGGAAAACTGTTAATTCCTTAGCCCCTGGGAGTGATGCTGGAGTTGTTTCTAATCCATTTGTGTGGGTCTTTATTCCAGTGAGATATGGCCGATTTGATCCCGAGGACCGGCGCAGCAGACACTGCCCATACCTGGACACTATTAACAGGTCAGCATAGAGACAAAGCAAACACTTGTAACACAGGGCATGGCAGAGTAGTGGCCTAGTTACAGTGGTTCTCATCCTTTCTCGGACTCCTGTACCCCTTTCAGCAGTCTGACTGGTCTTGCATACTCCAGCTTTCACCTCATTTAAAAACTACTTGCTTACAAAATCAGACAAAAATACAGATGTGTCACAGCACACTAGTACTGAAAAATTGCTGACTTTCTCATGATTAAATCAATTGTAATTTAAATATTGTACTTACTTTTCAGAGTGTAGTATATAGACCAGTACAAACAAGTCATTGTCTGTTTGAAATTTTAGTTTGTACTGACTTTGCTAGTGCTTTTTATGTAGCCTGTTGTAAAACTAGGAAAATATCTAGATGAGTTGATGTATCCCCGGAAGACCTCTGCGTACCCATTGGCCTAGCTCTTTGTGGGTACTAGATACACTCACAGACATTTATATATTAGGACCTAATACATAAATGTTTGTGAGTGTATCTAGTGCCCACAAAGAACCACAACTGTTTTCTGGAATAGCAGTCTCTGCTCAGGACTGGAATAGTAGCTGTTGCTACAGGGCAGGGGTGAGCTGCATCCGCAAAGGTTGAGCAATGCCAGCAGGAGGAGCAGGACTGGAATGGCCAGGGATGATACATGTCAGGATTGAGATGCAGCTCTGATTTTTAAAATGATGTGAGATCTTAGTTCCTGTGAGAGCCCAGAACCAGGAGGAAGGGGCTCTCTCATATTTGAGATATTGTCACGTGCAGTGTGGTACCAAGCAGCCTTCCAGTACTGTAGTGTGGGTCACACGTGATCATTTTTCTGTTGACCTTGGTTCTCTTGAGCTCTGTCAGATTCATGAGAACGTAGGACAGGAGGGGACCCAATGGTAGGCAATGGAGTGGACCCTACTGGACCCAATGGTAGGCAATATTTGTCTGACTGTTTCAGGGTAGCTCTGCTAACTTGCTATTAACCTGCCGTTTCAGGAGTGTTCTGGATTTTGACTTTGAGAAGCTGTGCTCCATCTCACTCTCGCATATAAACGTCTATGCTTGCCTCGTGTGTGGGAAGTACTTCCAGGGTGAGTTCACTGCTGTGCTGTATACCTGCCTCTGCAGCAAACAGAAGCACTGAATGGGGGTGTTACCCTGGCTATTTGAACACTTTGGGGGCTCACTTAAAGAGAAGGATATTCCATTTGTCTTAAGTGACAATTGTCTTTCCTTTTCCTGCGGGCCCTGAATTCCTAAAGCTATTTTACCTTCAAATTGCTGTCAGAACGTGGCAGACCCTTTTCTTAACCATTGCTGTGGCTTGTGCAGGGGACATAGCAAATGTGGGTGGCTGGAGGTCAGTTCTGCATGGATATATTGCTCGTCTAAACGTGTGTTTAGGTGCTGTTCTATGGTTCCTTCTTTGCAAAGTCCCCTTGAAATCAACATGGCCAGTGGCTTATTTCATTTTAGTGAAGGCATGTGCAGTTTAAAAGAAAATAGCTTGGGAAGTAACTGAATGTGGGGAACTAATTGTCAGCGTTGGGCAACAAGGCTCCCATTTTAACATTAGCAGGAATCCTATGACTGGATCCCAGGGTTCTTGTAGCTAAATCCCACCCTGCCTTTATGGAAATCTATCTCCCGAGCATGTGAAGCTGTTTTAACATTTATTTTCCTTCAAAGTACCCCCCAAAAATTCCAGTTCCCCCTGAGGCCTGTTCCCAGTGTGCTAGATACTCAGCAAAAGTGCCTAAAACCAGAGGATTCTAGCGCAGGAGAAGGCAACCTATGGTACACGTGCCGAAGGCGGCACGCGAGCTGATTTTCAGTGGCATTCAC